CTTTTCCATTATCCTTATATAACTATAGTAGTTCTAAATCCTGTAAAGGTGCCTGGCAAAACTCTTCCCTCTGTCTCGGCTGGCGGCTCACATGGGGCTTGCCGTTGATTGGAGGATGCGCCACCACGCCTAACTACAATATACATGTGTGGACTAGGTTGGCCTCTAAAAGCCCATTGAAAAACATTAGTATCTAGGGTCCCCTATTAAAGCCATTAGGGAAAATATTAAATACTCCAGGGGCCTACCCAGTGGACCTCTGGAAGGACGTCTTGTGACATCCTGCACAGGGCCAGGACCCATCACCCTCCATCACGATCTGCCGGGTGAGGAGCTTTGCTTAGTGAAATCCTCCTGGGCAGCCACATTTGATGCATTCATATACTATAGTAGTTTCCATTTTCTTTTCCATTATCCCTATAAAACCCCAATATACTATAGTAGTTTCCCTGTTCTTTTCCATTATTCCTATAAAACCCCGATATACTATAGTAGTTTCCTCTAGCTGCTCTCGAGGCTATTTGGGTGTCCTCTGGTCATGGCCATTCAATTCAGCGGATTGCTGCCTGCCCTTAGAGGAACCAGTGACCAACAGGCCCCGTTCTCGCAAGGTCCACGTAGCGACTCAACAGGTCAGAGTGGGAGATGAGCCGCTCCTCCTGCCTTAAAAATTAAAACACTGGATTATTCATGCGATTTCTCTCCAACTGTGGGGCTTCCCCTGCCTCCTACAACCACAGCTGGCTTACTGTGAGAAGTGGCTGCCTAGTTACGGGCCATACGAGAAGTGAACTGCAAGACTCCGCCCGACCGCACACGCATGTCCCCCAGTGCGTTCGGCATGATTGCCACCAAACTCTTCCTCATCGTCGCCGGGCCCATGCACTCGTGACCAGTCCTGTTGAAGCTGCTTCCTCTTTCTTCTTCTACTACTCACTACTTCGTCTACTGCTACCACCACGACCACTAACAGCTGCTGGCAAAAAACTGGAACCGGCCAGCAAGTTCCTATCAACCGCACAGATCCCCAATGTATTACAACATACCACCATAGGGGCATTTAAAACTGAGGGGGGCGCGGGAGGGTCAATACTAGGGGAGGGGATTATCAGAACCTGTTTTGCAAAACCCAAAACCCTAAACCCTAAACCATTAACCCTAAAACCTAAATCCTAAACCCTAAACCCTAAACCACTACCCTAAAACCTAAACCCAAGGCTCCACGCCGATCAGGTCTGCAGCCTCCAAGGCAAACCTCAGCTACCCCCCCCCTCCCCCAATCTAACATGCAACCTGGTATGCCCTAAACCCAACACATAATAAGCATTATAGTATTTCGGGGCCTATACTTGGGGTCCCACTATTTTGGAAAACTAACATATGCTACAAGTCACTGCTTTCAACCTTCCAGCAGTTGCTCTCTGGAAAGTTGCATCGGCCCTGACTCCTTTTTGATGCCGTTCATTTTCAGCATCTTTATAAAGAAGGCAGCGCAATTCTTTGGAATGATGCGCGCCCTAAACCCCAAACCTTTTCAAACCAAGACTGTGCCTGCAGCCAGCAGAATCACTGGAAACTTAAAGGGAACCCCAAACCGGGAACCCCA